ATTTATTATAAATTTTAATTATATATAATAAATATGTCTGTACATTGGCGGTTAGTTCTATGTACAAATTAAAAAGTTAATTCTCAAAGACAATGGTCGTAGGTACCGAAAAGTAAATCTAAACTATATATATCCACGAAAATGGTTTGTTAAAATGAAGTCTAAAATAAATTTTAAAAGAAAAAAAAATATTTTTTTGGGTTATTTTACTATCATATAAAGTATTTCGGTAATATATCATATATGATTTTTTTTATTTTATAAAAACTAATAACAATTTTTTTTATTAAAAGTGTGAGACCCCTCTTCCCTCTCAACTTCTCCCTTCACTATTTTCTTCTTCTCCATTCACTCATTCTCTCCTTGGCTGATTTTTCTTTCCCTGGCCTCTGGTAACCTTAGGTGCTGAGCTAGAGATGGGTGGTACTAGTTGAGTGTTCGGAACCTTCTCTCCCCTTCTCCTCCTTCGTTGCTCAAGCTCTTTGGTGGGAGAGCTGAGTAGGGTGGATTGCTAACTAGTGTTGAAGTTTTCTATTCTCCTTTCCCGTGTTCAAGTTCCTTCGTTTTCTCTTGGAATCTTCCCGAAGCTCGGAACCATCAAAGCCAAGGTAAGGGAAGCTAGGTTCTTGTCGTTTTTGGCTGAAAATTGAGTTTTAGGTACCTATTTGACTGCTGAAGATTGATGATTTTGGTGGGGAATGATGTAATAAAAGGTTTTTGGGTTTTTGGAGTTTTTAAGAAAATCTTTGAATAAATTTTGTTTGTGGTTGCATGTGAGAAATGTGGTGTTTTTCTTGATCCTTGATGGAAATAATGGCTTTTGGCTGGACTGCATGTGCTGGGAATGGGGATTTTTGCAGGTCTTGGGCTAGATTTTCGAACTTGGTGGGTTGCTGCTGAGCTGCGCGCTAGGCGCAGTTCTTCGCGCCGGGCGCATGACCATCTGGGAGCTTCATTTAGGCAAGCCCGTCGGGCGCAAAGGTGTGTGTGCCGGGCGAGCTTGCGAATGCGAGCCTCTGGATGGCCCACGCCAGGCGTGGAGTGGGCCGCGCTGGACGCGCTATCAGTAAATGACATGTTTTGGGATTTTTGAGGCCGCACTGGGCGCGCATTTGAACTCGCTGGGCGCGGAGGCTCCTTAGGGTCTCTGCCAAGAGGGCGCTGGGCGCAATGCGAATTGCGCCGGGCGCGAGACCTTGGTAGGTCTCTGCCTTCCCCGCGCTGGGCGCGAGTTAGGCTATGCCGAGCGCGTGAGACTTCTAAGAGTCTCTGCCTGGGTTTGCGCTGGGCGCAATTGGAAATTGCGCCAGGAGCGTGAGAGCTTTGAGCTCTCTGGTTGAGGTACGCCGGGCGCGATCATGCCTGCGCCGGGCGCGCTGGTCCCCTGGTGCCTCTGGATGTGCCACGCCGGGCGCAACCATGGGTGCGCCGGGCGAGCATGAGAATGTTAACCTGAAGAAATATTTAATGTTAAACTATGTTGAAATTGCTGATAGAGGTTGCTGTAAGTTGAGACGGATGTTATGTTGTATTGAGCTGGTTGTTATTGATGAGTTTAAATGTTGTATTATACGTTATTGCTGTGAGCTGTTTTGCCGTGCTGTTTATTTTGTTGAGCTGAATACTGTTATAGCCGCTAAGTTGGTGCTGTTAGCCACTATTGTGGTGCTGTTATAGCCGCTAAGTCGGTGCTGTTAGCCACTATTGTGGTGCTGTTATAGCCGCTAAGTCGGTGTTGATATTGCTGAGTTTGCTTTGGTGTAGTATAAGCTGTACGGGTGTGCTGATAGCTGTAGATGCTTTTATTTACATATTTATATATGTTTGTCGATTTTCTTTACACTAGCTTACCCTTTTTTTTTGTTTCCATGTGGTTGGACTGCGATGATCATACTAGAGATGGCAAAGTGGGCCATGGCCCGCGGGCCGGCCCGTTGGCCCGCCAAAAATTGGCGGGCCGGGCCAAGCATTTCAACCCGCCAA